GAGAAAGCGCCATACTGCTTTCCACAGGGGTTGCACCATTTTACACTCCCACCAACAGTGAATCAGGGTTCCAGTTTCTCCACAACCTCGCCAGCGTTTGTTACTTGCTGTTCTGTTAAATTTTGCTATTCTGACTGGGGTGAGATGGTATCTCATAGTTGTTTGGATTTGCATCTCTCTTAGAACTAGGGATTTTGAACATTTCTTCATGTGCTTGTTGGCCATCTGAATGTCTTCTTTGGTGAAGTGTCTGTTCATATCCTGTGCCCATTTTTTCAATTGGATTATTTACTTTTATCTTGTTGTGGCATTCAACATCTTAAGTCTCTCCTGCTCCCTCAAACCATAGACTGTCCAAATTGCATATAAGTCACCAGTTCCTATGGTTTCTCTTTCATTATCAATTTTTGTATTACTCCCTCCTTTACAATCCTCTCCTACTCCCTTATTCCAATCCTTATGCAATCAAATCTAGACTATTCTGATAATCTCTTAACACTTGCTTCCAACCTTGGGTCACCCAAAGAAAGATAGCTTCCAAAAAGCTGAGTAATTATTTGAAAATGCTAATTTAATTCTGTTAGGAACCTCAATAAATAATGCCAGTAGCTCCTAATGTCCTAGAATAAAGTCCACCTGCCTGAGCAGGGCCTACAAGGTCTCTATGATCTACTCCTTTCTAACCTTATCTTTTTTCTATGTTCTATTTCTCCCTCACATTTTATGCTCCAGCCACGCAAAACAAATTCCAGTTCCCCTAATTTAACAGGCTATTTCACGCCTGCCTGCCTGCCTTTGCATATATTAATCACTCCTTCTGCCTGGAACGCCTTTCCTAACTACCTTCCCTCCCCCAATAGCTGAACAAACACCTCGATACTTTACAGGATTTAGATCAAGGGTCAACTCTGCTAGGAACTTTCCTGTTACCTTCTGCTCCTTTCTGGTACAATTGTTGTTATGTATCATCGAGTGCAAACCAACCCACTGCTAAAACCTCCAGCAAGTTCTTAAAGGTTGTAATTAACAGAGAAGGAGATTGCCCATCTTTCTTCTGCTCAGCAGATGGTGAGTTCTTCGTGCACAGACTATTCCACCTAAAGCGAGAGTTACCACCTACCTCTATTACTAATTCCCTCTTAGGTACAGTGATTCTGCCTTACCTTTATTCTCTAAATAAAAATTTACTAATAAGTGAATGGAGGCTAGAACAATGCACTTAAGACTATCCTCTGCCAATGTTCTGCCAGAGTTAGTTTCCTCCAGGGGAAAAAAACTCACCACATTTTAATATTAACAGGAGCGAGACAGACTTAGCAAGGTATTACACTAGTGCTGTTTTATGCCTGTTTTTCCAGGCCTAAATCAGAGATGGAATTAATGTAAGTGTGCACATGTATTAAACAGACACCAATGAGATATTTATGAAATTTTCATAACACATATTCCAAAGTCTGCTGGAGTTTATGTTGAAAATATTTTTTTTAAAAAACAAAGTTTTTTAAACAAAGTATAAAACTGACTTACTTATAATTATTTTAAAAATATTTTAACATTTTGAAAAATTTAAGAAGTTGTTACTCTTATTCAAAAGTTTCTATTACAATAAGTCTGTCATAAAAATCTTAAAATTATGTCAAAAAATAAGTTTTAAAAAATATTATGCCAAAAGTAGATTCACATGACTCCTGAATGATCCTTTCATTGGAACTCTGTTTCTAGTTCTTATTACTTGCATAATGGAAGAAATGATATTTTCTGTTGATCTAATCCATCCATGACAATCAGCTTGTGAGATTAGGATTACTGAAAGCAAAAATTCTTCCTTCCACCCAAGTAGGAAGAGTGTTGTTCTAACAGTGTAAGGATTAAAACCAGTATCATGAAATAAAGCCTGTATAAACTGTTGAATGGAAAACTACTTTGCTCTATAATTTCCACCCAAATCATAATAAAGAGTGTCTTCCTTCCTTCCTCTATAATCTAATCATGGGAGCCCAGCAGGACACATAACAAGCATTAACTAACTTCCTTCTACTTACTTGGGTAAGACATGATGGTCAACAAGGATGAGGCTGAGCTGGCCAGCCTGGTGCAGTGTATGGAGGTCAATTTCATCCCGAAAAATCAACACAGACTCTGGAATGTTAACTTTCTCAAGAAAGAAGACATTGTCACCTCGTAGAGGTAGCTCAGAACGTTTTATATTTAAAACTGGTACAAAGACTTCCTCAGCCTCAGTCGTCTAGATAAAGAAAATGAGAAAAAGGTTATTTCATTTTTTTAGATAAGTAACAAGACTATTTAATGGGACCAAGGAGCGCCTTAGATCTTGGGAATTTACCTTCTTCCTCTAAGTCACAATTACTCAGCCCATAAAAATGAAAAATAACAACCATGTCCTCTAGTTTTCTTAGTAATAACATAAATATCAATAAAATAAGAGATTGAAAAGACCAAATTAAAATGCTTCAGCAAGAGTTATCAGTGCTAAGGGAGATCGGGTGGCCTAGTGGCAGGAAGCTGAACTGCAATCCCAGAGGTACACGGTTAAACTCTACCAGATGCTCTGCTGGAGAAGGAGGTTCAATTCCTGCAGTACCAGTCAGATCTGATTTGATGGTACACACACAAAGATAATTAAAAATTAATTAATTAATTAATAAAAAAAAAGTTATCAGTCCTGAAGAGCTGACCAAACAGGAGTACACAGTGGATCACTGATACCTATCAGAATTCAATAATAAACTGAATACGGCTCCATATTTTACACATCCTCCAAGATAGACATCTATTCATTTGGTCTTCACAACAGCACTGTGAATGATTATCCTTTTAGATTTGATAGATGGTGACATGAGACTTAGAAAGGTTAAGCAATCTAACTTCTTGTTGTTGACTGCCATAAAGTTGAGTACAACTCATAGTGACACTATGAAGAAAAGACCTGAAGCCTTACTATAACTATCATTGTTTCTCAAAGTTCATAGTGTTTCCAGAGGCATGATGTTTAGGAAGTGGATGCTACTACTGCTTCCAAACCTGTCTTAAACTGGGAGCTCCAAACACTGTCCACCAAGGGTAACTGTTATGGCATTTAAAAAAATTATTATTTTTGTGTATGTACCATCAAATCAGATCTTACTGGTACGGGAGGAGATTGCCCCTCCTTCTCCAGTAGAGCATCTGGTGGAGTCGAACTGCGCGCCTCTGGGATTGCAGTGCAGCTTCTTGCCATTAGGCCACCAGAGCTCCCTTGTTGTGGCATATGACACCCCAATGACACAAGGATTAGCATCACAGCAAGCCCATGTTACCTCAGTATAGCAAGCTGTCAGAACAGTGCTGAACTTTTCTGAAGAATGTTCCTCCAAAATAAAGTAACAACTGACTTTTAAACACAAAGTTCCTCTATGAGATCTGGTTGACTCTAAACAAGAGGCTTAAATGAAAAACAACTAATACAATTTCTTGTTATGTGCTATCAAGTCTCCTGTGACCCACATCGAACCTATGTACAGCAGCTCTGAATCCTTCCCTGTCCTGAGCCACTCTCACTAATTCTGACACACCAAACCCCATTGCCTCAGTTACTGTATCAATCCATCTCATCTGGGTTCTTCCACTCCTGCACTGTCCCTTTACCCTTCTGAGCATAATGTCCTTTTCCAAGGACTAGTCTCTCCTGCCACGTGCCCTAATATTTGAGATGGAGCTTCAAAATCCTAGTCTCCAAGGAAAGACTTGGTTTCACCCTCTCCAAGACAGTCCTATTTGGTTTTTTTGGCAGTCCATACCATGGACTGCCAATTTAACTTACCCAAGGATAAATGCTGATAAGTGGCAGAGCTGGATCTTAAATCCGCATCTTTCATTCTAATGACTCCGTTGATAAGTACTCACCTTTGCCAAGTAAAAAGCCAGAGCGAGAGCAGATACCATAGAGTCGAGGTCACAAGCTTCATTTCCCATAACAACATGTAGAGGTCGGGACTCCTGAAGAAAGAGGAGAATGAGAAATTTTCAAAAGCATTTTCACCTTCACACATACTTTCTCACTGATCATCTCTGAGGTAACAGGTCAGAGAATATCATTGGTCCTCATATTATGGATCAAGATATTAGAAGAGGGGACATAAGGAATTCAGATAAGTCACACAGTGAGTGTGACTACCCAGCTGTTAGCTACCTAGCTAACAATAATTCTAATTTCTTATGCTGAACATTTAAAGAGAAACCACAGGTTTACACACCCATGTTTTTTGCTGCATTATTTACAATAGCAAAGAGATGGAAGCAACCCAGATGCCCATCAAAAAATGGAGAGAAAAACTATGGTACATCCACATAACGGAGTACTACACAGCATTGAAAAACAATGAAATAGTAAAATATTATACAACATAGGGGAGCCTTGAGTACATTATACTGAGTGAAGTATCTCAGTCACAAATGAACAAATACAGCATTAATACCACTTATAAAACAAAACTGACATGGGGGGAAATGGAAAAAAGAGTGGATACATAATGAGCACTGTATTAGAAAAGATGAGGGGAAGAACTGTTCAAAAGGAATATAAGATTATGCATTACATGCATGAGAAAAATATGGAACAAGGGGTGCATTGTGGGGTGAGTTGGAAAAATAGAGAAGTCAAAGTTACAACATTTATGCACACCCATGTTTATTGAGGCTTTGTTCACAATAGCAAGGAGTTGGAAACAACCTAAGTGCCCATCAACAAACGAATGTATAGAGAAGCTGTGGTATATTCACACAATGGAATACTACCCTGCATTGAAAAACAAGGAACTCATGCAATATTATTCAAAATGAGTGACCCTGGAGGACATTATGCTGAGTGAACTATCTCAGTCACAAAAGGACAAATACTGCATAGTGCCACTGTTGTAAAACAGGACTGACATCAGGGTTGGGGGGAGACTGAGAAAGATAGGTTCAATAATGTATACTGCACTGAAACAGATGAGGGAGGGAACTGTTTAAAAGGGATATGTGATTAGGTATTACTGTCATGACAGGAGTCTAGAACAAAGGATACATAGTGGAGTGGACCTGGGGGGAGGGATTGTAAAACAACTGGAGAAATTGTCTTTTACTTCAAAGAGAATAGTGTACTGAGTGGGGAGAGGGGTGGACAGGGAGAAAAGTGCAACAATGAATGAATGGAAATTCAAAGTCTTTGTAAATTTTCATTAAAATTAATAAAAAACTATATAAGAAAGGTAGAACATTTAAGGTAGCTCATTTGTTAAGAGTTATAGAGTTGTTATGAATTTAAATTTACTTGGATTCAAAATCAACATTCATTGATTGCGGCAGCAGTACTCAAGAAATCAAAAGATGTGCAACATTGGGCAAATCTGTTGTAAATAACCTCTTTAAAGGGTTAAAGAGCAAGGATATCAGTTTATGGCACCTGACGCATGCAATGTTTCTATTTAAAAAAAAAATTATTAATTTCAATGAAAATTTACAGAGACTTTGAATTTCCATTCATTCATTGTTGCACTTTTCTCCCCTCCCAACCCTCCTCCCTAGTATACTACCCTCTTGGAAAAGTAAAATTCTTTCATTGTTTTACAATCCCTCCCCCCAAGTCCACTCCACTATGCAGCCTTCACTCTGAACTCCTGTCATGAAAAAAATACCTAATCACATATCCCTCTTAAACAGTTTTCTCCCTTACCTGTTTCAATGTCATATACATTATTAAACCCACCTTTCTCAGTCTCCCCCCAACCCCGAGGTCAGTTCTGTTTTACAACAATGGCACCATGCAGTATTTGTCCTTTTGTGACTGAGATACTTCAATCAGCATAATGTCCTCCAGGGTCGCCCATTTGGCATACTATTTCATGAGTTCCTTGTTTTTCAATGCAGTGTAGTATTCCATTGTGTGAATATATCACAGCTTCTCTAGCCATTCGTTTGTTGATGGGCACTTAGGTTGCTTCCAACTCCTTGCTGTTGTGAACAAAACCATGATAAACATGGGTGTGCATATATCTGTTTGGGTGTCAGTTATGGTCTCTTTGGGGTATATTCCCAGTAGTGGAATTGTTGGGTCAAATGGTATCTCTATTTGCAAGCTTTTTTTAAGAAAATTTGTATTATTTTTTGTTTGTCTACCGTCAAATCAGATCCTACTGGTACAGGAGGAGACTGTCCTTCTCCAGCAAAGCATCTGGTGGATTCAAACCACGTACCTCTGGGATTGCAGTGCAGCTTCTTGCCACTAGGCCACCAGAGCTCCCTCTATTTGCAACGTACACGTGTGTGTGTGTGTGTGTCGTCAAATCGGATCTGACTTGTACAGGAGGAGATTGCCCCTCCTTCTCTGGTAGAGCATCTGGTGGATTTGAACTGTGTACCTCTGGGATTGTAGTGCAGCTTTTTTTGCCACTAGGCCACCAGAGCTCCCCTTATTTGCAACTTTTTGATAAAGAACCATATCGCTTTCCACAGTGGTTGCATCATTTTACACTCCCACCAACAGTTTCTCCACAACTCTGCCAGCATTTGTTGCTTGCTGTTCTGTTAAATTTTGCTATTCTGACTGGGGTAAGATGATATCTCATAGTTGTTTTGATTTGCATCTCTTTTAGAGCTAGGGATTTTGAATATTTCTTCATGATTGTTTGCCATCTGAATGTTTTCTTTGGTGAAGTGTCTGTTCATATCCTCTGCCCATTTTTCAATTGGATTGTTTACCTTTATCTTGTTGTGGTGCTCAACATTTAAAATACTCAAGTATTTTATAAATTCTGGATGTAAGTCCCTTATCTGATTTGTCATTACCAAATACTTTTTCCCAGTCTGTGGCTTCCCTTTTTACCCTGTAGGAGAAGTTTTTGGATGTGCATAGGGCCATGTTTCTTATACATCTGAAAATTAGACGAGTAAGGAAGACTGAAGAAGGGCTGATGCCTTTGAATTTAGTGATGGCAAAGTATTCTGAATATCCCATGGACTACCAAAAGAACAAATCTGTCTTGAAGTGCAACCACGATATTTCTTAGACCATCGAAGAATGGTGAAACTTCACCTAATACTTTGGGCATCTTGTCAAGAGTGGCTACTCCTTGGGGAAAAAATATCATTCTGGGAAAGACAGTGGGTCTGAGAGAGACAAGACCCTCAAGGAGATGGACTGGCACAGTGAATGCAACAATGGGCCTGAGTACAGTGATGGAGCAGGATGTTGTTGTCATTGCTAGGTGCCGCTGAGTTAAGTACAACTCATAGTGAACCTATGAAGAACAGATCTGGGGATGTCAATTCACAGCTACCCATTCTCAGTAACTCTAACACACTTGAGCCCTATGCTGCAGGAGCTGTATCAGTCCATCTCATTGAAAGTCCTATTCTCCTTCACTGAATCTCTATCTTTACAAGCACTATGATCATTTCCAAGGAGTAGCCCCCACTAAAAACATGCCCAAAATATGTGAGATGAAGCTTTGTCATCCTTGCCTCTAAGAAGCACCCTGGCTGCACGTTCTCCAAGACATTATCTGTTCATTCTTTCCCTAGTCAATGGGATAATCAGTACTCTTCTCCAACACCACATCTCAAAGGCATCAATTCATCTGTCATCCTTATTCACTGTATAGTCCCAGAATGTTGTTGTTGGGTGCTAGTGGTGACCAGGAGGAAGAGGTAAAAAAGCATGACTGAGGAAGGAATGAGTTTCTATTCTGGTGCTGGGAGGTCTGGCAGCAGATGATGATGGCTCCAGTTAGGGAGGTCTGGTGGCCTGGTTTATCAGCATTGTGCTGCTAACCTAAAGGTAGTACCGCACTGGAGGCTGAAATCTACCAGCAACTCCACAGGAGAAAGATGGACACTCTCCTCCCATGTAATTTACAGACTTCCAAAAACCTGCTCCAAGGGTTTACAACATGACTGATGTAATTAGTGTCACTGAATTGTATGCTGGCAGAGTATTACACCAGCAAATGTATTATATATATTTTATAATAATTAAGGAAAAAAACCAGAGAGAATGCTTGTACCCTAAATTCAAGCCATAGCTTTGTATCTCATTCCATCCAGAAGAATGCTCACAACTGGAGTGAACTAATATTCAAAGAACCTACCTTACAGAGTTGTTTTGAGGATTGATTACTCAATACATGGAAAAAAGTATTAAAGCAGTATCTAGCACATAAAAGTAAAACAAAACCTCTATGTCTGCTACTGTAGACATTGTAAGTTTTAGCATTTCTTTTTTTAAAAAATTTTTTTAATCCAAAAATTATTTTAATTATGATTTTAAGTTAAGTTTACAGAAAAGTTGGATTTTCATTCATTTACTATTGCACATTTTTTTCTCCCTCCCAGTTCACTTTATTAAAAACAAAATATTCCGGGGTGAGCTGTGCATTTGGCCCGTCGGGGCGAGCCAGCCCTCAGGGCGAGCTCCTCAGCCCTCGGATTGTACCATCTGACCCCTGGGTAGAAAAAACTGCCTAGGGTATATAGAGAATTGTATGGAGGCTACTTTCCTCCACTCTCTCCCCCAGTACACTCCTAAGTAACACCCTCAAACCCCTTCTATTTGTAACTCACAAGTTTGTTCTCTCTAGGTTTGCACCCTTTTCTATAGGTAATCTTAAAACTGAGTTTTACTCCAGACCTGACCCTGAAACCAATTCCAGAGACAAAAAGGAAATACAATGGCCAGTTAAGGAAGCAAAGGAGGATGGAGCCTCAGGGTTCAGTCAGCCATCCCCACTGGATCCACCTGGGAAAACACTTTGCAGTCCAGAGAGGAATAAAGATCAAGAAAACATTTTCTAACAGAAGACGAAGGCAAGCAGCTTCAACCCAAGACCACCAATAAGGGGATAAAGTGTGCTCCCTTTCCCCCTTTCACATCAAAACCCCTGTTCAGTATGAAGAAGCCAGAGTGTCTGCACCCAATTCCCAAATGAGAAACCCACAAGTGAAAAAGACAATTTGTTTAA